CCCCCCCCCCCCCCCCACCACACACACACACACACACACACACACTCCCAGAGCACATGTATAAATGCCCTTAGATTCCAGTCTGACATTCACTTGTCCTTTATGCTTCGTTTTCCATTCCTAATCAAAGTGAAGTTTCTCTTGCCCTGACTTTTTCATGGTCACAAGCAGATCAAAGAATGGGCCGATCCGCAAATAGTGCTGACGTGTTTGGGAACCTCTGGTGCTCAAAAGAGAAAGCAAATGGACTTTGTGAAGCATGCGACACATGCTCAGCTCGTGTTTTTGTTGTTGTGCAGTCACCAAAAATCAAGCCATGAGCTTGATGTATCTTTTTCAAACAGCCATAAGTGCAAGTAAAAATAAAACAAGAACCCCCCCCCAAAAAAACCCAACCCATTGTACATGATGCATGGCCATGAAATGTAAGAAGACAGGAAAATGGAAATGGGGAGATTGAGGCTTGAGACTTAAGATGGTAGAAGAAAGTTTATGGGACTAGCGATGAGGGGGCACAAGAGGCTCCTGATAGAAACACAGGGTCTGATCTTCAGTGGCACTTAGTACCTGCATGGACTCCATCTAAGTTTGAATATTTAGTTCTACAGCTGGTCAGAAATTTAGCTCCTACATCTCCCATCATGCCCATCCATCTTTCCTCCTTGTGAGGAGAGGCAGTTGCATCATGGGAAACAGTCCAACTGGGGTTTCCTGTCATTAGAAAACAGAGACATGAAGATACCGTAATAATTCCTGTGAAGTAGCAGTCTCACCTGAATTGCTATACTACTTCTTTTTCTTCCTTTTTTTTTATGAAATAATTCAGGGCACTTTAGTTTTTCAGTAAAAGTAACTGAAATTTTCCTTGATTAACAGACATCCGGGGAGGGGCGTGGGGAGGAGAAAATGCGTATGAAGCCAATATTTTGTTTAAAGTTTTTCATGAAATACTTTTGACCAGCTCTATTCAACAAATATGAAAATTAGGTTCATAGAAGTTGAAGGAGGATGTGAAATGTTTTGCGTAGAAGCCAGGAGTGGCCAGTAGAAAGGATGTGGAGAGAGATGACTATGGACAGGACCCAATGGAGGGCTGGAGGAGGTAGTGTTAGGAAGTGACCCCTTATGAGAGAACGAAACTGAGAGGTAGGTGATATAAAAGGAAACCAGGCAGGAAGAGTATGGGATGTATAGACTATACCATGCTGGTGGAGAGCAGGAGAGAAAGGCAGAAAGTATGGTGTCAAGGAAACTGACTTTGCTCTCATGCCTGAGGTCTAGATCCTGCTCCCCTGGAATAAGTGGCAAAGCTCATGTTGGCTCTCAAGTTAGTCACAGCCAAATGGTCTGCATGATGGACTATATCCATGCCTGGCAGTTCTGTCATTGACTTTATCAAGAGCAGGAGTAAGGCCTCTTTCCTCTGATAGTACCATATTCAGGCTGAGGAGCAAATGGAAATGAAGAATGTTGTGCTTCTTGAACTAGCATGACTTTGAGAAGCAATGGGGGGTGTCTGTGTAATTTAACCCATGTGCTGATATGTGGCACTGTGATGTGAGCCTTGGGTACACCACAGGAAATGAACCAGGAAGGGCAGATACAAGGGCTTCTACCAAATGAATCCCTCCAGGACAAGTGATCTTCCCTTGCAGGTGTCTCCAGATTTAAGAGGAGGAGCAGGTTTGCCTGCTCCCAATACAATGACCGGACAAGGGAATCCTTGCTGTACCTTTCCAATAAAGAGTGAAATGCCACATGGTGCAGCAGGCTGGTAAGTCGTGAGTTGCTCTTCATTGTGAATATATGTAGGGTGGTTGCCGGTTAGTGGTCAATCTTCTCCAGAACAAAGTAATCAGATGGTCTAATGCAAGCTGTGATCGCTTAGACAGAGATGGGTGTGTTCTGGGCTACAATTAACTGGCACCTAGAGCCAGCCGGGCTGGGGGAACTAGTACCCTAAGAGATGTGGTGAGTGAGGAGCTGGATCTCTGACTGTTCAGGGGCCTTGCCCTGGTCTGGTTTTCTTAACCTGCAGTTAGTAGGCTGGTAGCAATGAGATCCTCCCCCCCAAAAAATGGCTAATGTGATGCTTGGGACATTTTGTCTTGGTCTGTCAGGCCTTCCAGCCCACAAGGTCCAGCTCTTCTCCCTAAGGCGGCAGTCTCCCTTTGCACCAACAGTTTGACTTGCTTTGAAGAGCTCTGCAGAGATGCAGGGGGCTCTGTTCCTCTGCTCTCCAGAGCTGTCAACCTGGCACCAGAAAAATGAACCAAACAAACGCCCCCAGGTTCAGAATAGAATCTGTCTCAGTCGGGAATTGCAACCAGCTTCCGTTTCCATAGGAACGGTGACCTCACTCCTTCCTCCCCTGCTGGATGTGCTAGACACCAGGCTTTTTGAAGCAAGGCCCATTTATTTTCCAAGAAGCAGCTAAATATCCCAGAGAGCATGTATGCCATGTGTCCCCAGGTACTGCAGAAGTGCTGCTGCCCTGGGGATCTGCAGCAAATCCTTGAGTGGGAGGCGTATAATTTAACTGAAGTCCTCTTTCCCCAAGCTATTAAAGCCAACATCCTTCTACTGGCCTTCCAGGAGTCTGCTTTGCTGTGTAGCATTGCCCCTCTGGTGAGAGCCCTTTCTCCCTCTGCTTAGAATCAGCCAGGGATCGATCTTGGAGTATGCTGAAAACCTGGGCAAAGCAGCCTCTCAAAGAGTAAAGTAAGTGAACACCCTGGATCCTAATATTTTCAGAACTCTTGCTTATGCCCATGTAATTCTGGCCCTGTTGGACTCTGGACCCTCTAAAAAAAAATAAATAAATTGAAAATGGCCAGTGAGGAAGCTGTAATTTATAGAAAGCCCCCGCCACACAATGCTGGTATGATATGCACCCATTTGTGTGTCATTAACTTCTCTTTCCTTGGAAGGGTTTGGGATCCTACCATTGCTTCTAGTGGAAAAGCCTGGGGGTGTGGGGCACTAAGCACAGGCCTAGAAGCCAGGTATTTGAGGTGTTATCCCTGTTCTGACACCCTCTTCCCTTTTGTGGCTATGGCCAAGTTACCTAACTTTGCTGCCAACTCTTCATTTGGAAAATAGAGAATTGGCCACATGATTGCAGAAAGATAATGGTAACTTCCATTTGGCAAGTACTAAGCGTTGCTGTTTCTAGAGTGAACTGGAGTTCATGGTAGGAGAGTGAAGAGGAGTTGGGAGAACAAGTCAACCCGCCACTCATACTAAACCCTTGGCACATTGTAAAAAGGCCAGGCAGTAACTTGGGGGCAGGCCCCAGAAGCCCACCGAAGTCTAGAGAAGTCTTTCGCTGCCCCAAAGCCCTTTGAAGGCAATAGACAGACTTCCCCAGACTTCAGTGAGCTTTGAATTAGGTGCTGGGGCAGTGAGGTAGGAGGAGGAAGGGTCATTTCCCTCGCCAAAAAAGTGAAGAGGTGAAGAAACACAGAGCGTGAGGGGAATGGGTCATTCCCTTGGGGATGCATTTAGCCCTACATGTGCCTGGGAGATTGTTTTCCAACCCAGGTGATTTCCTTGCACAGATCCAAGCACTTGGCTACATGCACATTAGGTGCCCCCAGCAAATGTGGGGGAGGAGGAGGGGTGCAAGTTGTCCTCCTTTATTCTAAGGTACGTCTTGTTCTTTGGAAAGGAAGCATGAACATATGATCCAAATCCCATTGAAGCCAATGGGAGTCCTTCCATGGGTCAACTGGTTAGGCCCCATAGCACCAAGGAGAGCTACAGCAGCACAAAATTGCTTCTGTTGCCATTGCCCTCTTGCCATAACATGTTCCTATATGCAGCAGCCCAATTCTTGCAAGGGTGAGGTAGAACAATCCAGTCAACTGAGCATGGTGTTGGTCTCTGGCTTGGTGTGCAATGCTCTATCTGCTGCTCCAGAGTTATGAAGGTAGCAGAGGTACCATAACTGGCTTCTCTATTGTAACCCAAGGTATTCTTTGCTGTTCTGTGTTTGGCGCTTGTCATGTTTTTGTCATTCACAATGCTGGTGTGATTATGTGCAGTTCTGAGAGTGCTCTGGGACCTTCTGTTAATGAAGAGCTCCATTCCTCATTTCCAGCTCTCTCTCTCATTTTCTTGGTGTAACTTCTTGAGCAGTAGCTAATCAGGACCACAGAAAAGACCAACAGATTTTTCCCTTAATTATTCTGTTCATCCACACTAATCTCTGGTTAATGGTGGTGTTTTTGACTGACTGGATTCTTTTCCACTTATTTATTTCCTGGTACTAGGGAATTTTTGTTTTTCTTTTTTTTTCTTTTTTTGGATTAAAAAAACTTGTTCTGTTCCATGGTCCTTGTGGTAATGTTTTAAATTTACACCATAACACATGCATTTGAACTCTTAATGTTCCCTCCAAGTGTACAACCCCTGACTGTGGTGGTGGTTCAGTAACACTCTAGCACATTATATGTCCTGTTGCTGTAGGATCCTGGACAATACCTGTATTTTTTTTTGAAACTGCTGCTTTAAGAATTAAAACAAAACAAAACCTTTTTCCTTTTTGAAGAGTTTTAAAAAATGTAATTTTTTTGTGTATTGTCATGTAATAATAAATATTCTAAATATAACTGGGTTTCATCAGTTACTTGCGGAGGATGTGCTAAGATTGAGCTGCTGCTTCAGTCCTCTCTGAAATCGGGTCTGAGGGTCTGGAACATGAATAGTCCCCCTTGTGAGCTGGAAGAATTGTCCTCATCTTGCAGAAATGAGACAGAGCAAATGCAAAGTGACTTGCCAGTTGCACACAATCTGACACAGCCAGGAACTACTAGATTCTAGTTCTCCTGCATTCCAGTCCAGTGCTCCATCCACTGACCACCCATCCTCTTCCATACCACTGCTGACATGGGTGCAATATTGTTTCCTTAGGTTACTGCTTGTGACTGAGTTTGCAAGA